GTGGTAAGGACGCGGGCAATGACCTAGGCCTTGTAGGCCTAGGACTGGCGGGCGCGGACGCGCGCGAGAAGGTCGGCGATAGCGCGCGAGTGCAGCGAAGACGCGGGCGCATGCCTATGCGCGATAGGCATAGGCGAGGGGGCACGCACGCGTGGGGTACAGGCAGCGAAAGTGAGGCGCGCGCAATGGCGCGCGATTGGCAGTCAAATGCAAGAGACCTAGTCATCACGGGACTAGGCGGAACCGAGGCGATGGACGCGCACACGCAAGAAGAAGGCGGCGCAGGAGAGGCGCGCGCGTGTACGGATGACGCGTGCAACACGGACAAGTGAGAGGCGGCCGAGAGTTTTGAACATGTGGAAGTTTAGGGAGCATTCTAGATTTGCTTGGTGTGCAAGCCAAGCATTAGTTATTTGGTAGTAATAGGATTTTATTGTTTTCTAGTGTTAGGATTTCTATTCTTGCAAGATTTAGGAGATCTAGTATAGATAGGCTTAGATTGATTTTTGCACCTATAAATACCCCATGTACCTCATCATTATTTACAAGTCTGGAATGAAGTATTGAATTGGTGAGCCAATCTTGAGGGGGAACTGATGTTCTTAACGTGTGTTTAAACAAGGCCATTAGTGTGTGTTTACATACAGTGTCGGAGAGAAGACCATTAGAGCGTCTTGAAGTCACGGTATCTAGGGGAAGGCCGTAGTGCGTCTGTTAGATACACATATCGTGGATAAACGAAGGCCCTGAGTGCGCCGTTTGTTCACAACCGTATAGATAACAACACGATCCGTCATCATTGGTGCTTTCATTGAAAGGTGCTGATCGTGTCTTTATGTATCTTATCTTTTTCTTTTTTTCGGTTTTTCCTTTTGCTGAGGGGGCCGAATTTTTGTTCTTTTTTGTTCGAAATTTTCGAATTTGCTATTCGAATTTTTCAATTTTATTTTTCGTGTCTTAAAAAAAAAAGTGTCACCTTGTTAATCCTTTGTTTGATTTTTTTTCGGTTATTACCTTTTGTTGAGGGGCCGAATTTCTTTTTGGGTTCGATTTTTTGAGTCTTTGTTGGGGGTTCGATTTTTCGAATTTTTTCCCTATTATTTTTGAATTTTTGTTTGGTTTGAAATTTATTTCGAATTTTTAGAGTAAAAAAAAAATTAAAAAAAAAAGAAGAATGTCTCACCCACCATTAGATGAGTTGGATTGGGAAGATCTTGAGATGTTGGAAGGTTTGGAAAGAGAGCTCACACCATGGGAAGCAACATATCTTGATGAGCTTCATGAGCGAAGGAATATTGAAGAGTACGAGCGTCAACTCATGGAAGCCCGAGAAGCAATGGTGATCGATGCTTATGACCATGAAGAGGAAGGAGAGCTAAATTTTCTAATCCTTGAGGGCAAGGAAAGTCTCGAAGAGGAGGAGAATGATACGGAAGTGGTCATCAACCCAGGCGAGTCGGAGGATGAAGGTGGCGATGGTCTCGATATTTGGCTAGAAAATATGTTGGAGGAGCCATCTAGTCCTATTTACCGGCCATCATGTGTGAGGGATTGGCCAAAAGGATGTGGTCCACGAGCTAAACTTAAGCCTAGGAGATGCAAGACCAAAAGAGCTCGAAGGAAAGGAAAGGCGAAGGCTAAAGAAGAGAAGTGTTGGTGCAAGCCTTGTGCGAGGAAAAGGCGAGTTCGCAAGATGGTGGCTCGAAGGGGAGGTAAGAGTAGAATGGAGGATGGTTGGATTTGGCGAGCTGGTGATTGTATTGGGTTGGATGGATGGAACCCATGGCTATCGGGCGAGCCAACGGAGTCGGACGGCAAAGGGGTCGATGAGTATCGGCTATCAGGCGTAGGGCGCGCATCGGGTAATGATGCGCGCGATAGGGCGAGGCGTACGACGTCGGGGGTACGCGTATACACGGCCGAGGAATGGGCCACAAATGTTGGCGGTACGCGCGGCACTGCGGGCGCACGAGGGTGCGCGGTAGACGAGCAGGCCACGGTGATTAGCTGCACGCGCGGAGCAGCGGACGAGGGGTGTGCGGGGAGCGCTGGGCACACGAGTGGTAAGGACGCGGGCAATGACCTAGGCCTTGTAGGCCTAGGACTGGCGGGCGCGGATGCGCGCGAGAAGGTCGGCGATAGCGCGCGCGTGCAGCGAAGACGCGGGCGCATGCCTATGCGCGATAGGCATAGGCGAGGGGGGCACGCACGCGCGGGGTACAGGCAGCGGAAATGAGGCGCGTGCAATGGCACGCGATTGGTAGTCAAATGCAAGAGACCTAGTCCGCACGGGACTAGGCGGAACCGAGGCGATGGACGCGCACGCGCAAGAGGAAGGCGGCGCAGGAGAGGCGCGCGCTACGCGTGAGCATTCTAGATTTGCTTAGTGTGCAAGTCAAGCATTAGTTATTTGGTAGTAATAGGATTTTATTGCTTTCTAGTGTTAGGATTTCTATTTTTGCAAGATTTAGGAGATCTAATATAGATAGGCTTAGATTGATTTTTGCACCTATAAATACCCCATGTACCTCATCGTTATTTACAAGTCTGGAATGAAGTATTGAATTGGTGAGCCAATATTGAGGGGGAACTGATGTTCTTAACGTGTGTTTAAAGTTTAAACAAGGCCATTAGTGCGTGTTTACATACTGTATCGGAGAGAAGGCCATTAGAGCGTCTTGAAGTCACGGTATCTAGGAGAAGGTCGTAGTGCGTCTGTTAGATACACCTATCGTGGATAAACGAAGGCCCTGAGTGCGCCGTTTGTTCACAACCGTATAGATAACAACACGATCCGTCATCAGGCGGGTGCAGGCAGGCGCGGGAGCGGGCAGCCAGTGGTAGCGCACGGTGCATGACTTGCCTAGCAAGAAACCGAGTTTGGGAGACCTTTTGAGCTGAATCTTCTCTAGATTATTCTTCCCTACTTGGAGTGCAAGTCAAGACATAAGATCCCCTAGTTATTTAGTTACCTTATTGCTTTATGATATCTGGATTGCTTAGGTTATTTAATATTTAATTGCTTAATTAGTTCCCTAGGTAGATTAGGATTAGACTAAGTTAGGATATATAAATAGGGGTGATCCCTCATTATTTTTAAAGTCTTGGAATTGATGAGTGAATAGAAAAAAACGTTTGTTCGAACAGTGTGTTAGGATTAGTGAGAGTTCGATCATGCAATCGAATTGGTGAGGCTAAGACCCAAGCCAGTTCAAAATCGAGGGAGCGAGGCTAATTAACGAGTGAACTCAAGTATCGTGAGAGAGTTAGGCTAATAACCGAGTCGATCACACCTATCCGTCGAGAGCAAGTCGTGGCGAGGCTGTGTTCGAGGCAAGCTGTCACGCCCCAAAGATTTTTAAAGACAATTCCGGACTTATCCAAAAATCTTGTTTTAAAATTTTGAAACCATTTATCAATTGACATAACACTTGCCGCTACTCGAGAACTTTGCAAAGCTTAACACATAATCAACATAAAAGACATGAGAATATTCAACATAATTCAAGTTCCAAGACTAGATTTCAACATATCTAGCAATAGGATTGTCAACATAATCCAAACTGATAATAATAATCCAGATGGTTCCAACACTTCAACCAATCAAAAGCGATAGGGAACAATAACAATGTCTGATAATCTCAACATAAATATCAAAGCAAGCAGAAGCAATATAAAGAAATAATAATGTTTGACCACCCACTCATCTTCAGTCTCGTCATGCCCAACACGTGCTTAACCTGCATCAATGAAGAGCAGGTGGGGATGAGCACAAATATAAACGAGGTGTTCACCACTATGCATAATATATTGGTAAGAATCCTATACTAGAGTCATAAGCAAGTACATGGTCAAAAGACATAACACACCACTCTCCTACTCATCACTATACTCATGTGTACACCTATCAAAAGCCGACAGGGGTAAGCCCAAACTCGTAAGCGGGAGTACAGTCGTGCCGAGGATCAATATCAACGGTCACGACCCATCGACTATGCTAAAATGAGTCTACCTATCACAAGTTTGGAGATCGCCCACCACTAGGCACCGTCTCATGACTCACACATACATTCATAGACACTTAGTATAAAAATCTTACCTCAATTATAACATAGCATATTTTAGATTAAAACCCACCTGGAAATCGGCTAAGCAATAGCACACAAACTGAAGAACGTAGGTCGAGGGCTCGACTCCTCAAACCTAAAAATTAGGGATTTAATTATTATTAAGAGTTGTGATTCGGTTGATTAAGCCACACAACAACGAGCATAACACAGAATTAAGCTAAGCATAAAATCATGGAAAAACACATATACTCAATGATGCAGACCCTAGTAAGATATTGTCCGCTTTGGGCTACTTCAGCCACCCGCACGGCTTTGTTCTTGGTTGGGCTTCAATACACACCCACCAAAACGCGTCTTACTAGTAAAGGTATCCACATCCTCATATAAGGCTTGCTTCGTTTCCTTTCAAACCCGATGTGGGATGCACTGCATCATCCACCCCCCCCTTGTGGGCCCAACGGTCACCGCTGGCACATGGGCTGGCTCTGATACCAACTGATGTAGCGCAGCCTTAACGAGCGGGAAGAAGAGATAAAATCTCACAATTTCTTACGTTTTATTAAATCCAAGCCCCTCGTTTACATGAAGGAAGAGAATTATATAGATCCTAATAGAGTCCTAAACATACTTGCTTTCCTCTCTTGCATAACAAGAAATAAATAAGCTAGATAATAAATATATTCTTACCAACTAAA